TTCTGATTTTGGACTCAAACTGAAGCACTGCCTTTTCCTGGGCCTTGAGGTATCCATCATTTAGACTGGAGTGATGCCATCTCCTTCCTAGTTTCAGGCCTTTGAACCCAGTCTGCAACTACATCAGAAGCTCTCCTGGATCTCCAGCTTGATAACTGCAGATCTTGGGATTTGCTGACCTCCATAACGGTGTGAGGCAATTTCTCATAATAAACTGTGTATATATATATATACGATGGCAAATAAAAGTAGTAGAATTCAACAAATGGTGCTGGGGCAACTGAATAGCCACATATAAAGAATGAAATTGGACCCCTACCTTATACAATATACAAAAATTAACTTAAACGGATCAAAGACCTAAATGTAAGAGCTAAAACTATAAGACTCTTAGAAGAAAACATAGGTATACATTGTGGTAACCTAGAATTAGGCAATAATTTTCTCGATATGATAACAAAAACACAAGCAACCTAAGAAAATATAAATAAGCTAGACTTCACTGAAATTGAAAACTTTTGTGTTTCAAAGAACACCATCAAGAGAGTAAAAGACAACCTATCAAGTGGGAGAAACACTTGCAGATCATACATCTGACAAGGGCACAGTGTCGAGAACATAGAAAGAACGCTTAGAACTTGTCTTAGTTTCCTCTGGCTGCTGTAACCAAGTGCTACGGGCTGGGCAGCTTGAAGGACGATCATTCACCTACTGTGCTTCTCTCAGTTCTGGAGGCTGTGAGGCCCTCGACGTGCAGACCACAGCCTCCGCGAGGGAGCAGGGAGCCGCGGCTCCTGTCGCTCTTACAAGGGCTCTAATCCCATCACAGGGCCCCGCTCACGACTGTCTTATGGTTATTAAAAGAGGTTTGAGTAAGTACCAGGAAGTAATAAAGAAGTAGATGCTGAATAAATATTTTAAAATGTTGAGTGATCAACTTTTATGAAAAGCCCCTCCTGCATGATTTTCCTCTTCCTTAAGGAAAAATGTACCTGAGTACTGGGGTTCTGGGTCAGGGCTAGTTTGTGATAAGGGACGGAAAGGAAGAATTCATATGTTGAGATGAAAAAGTGTAGCTCAGTTAGATAAAAATGAAGAGAAAAGATTCCAGGTGTCCTGGTTTCATTGTGCTTCTGTCCTCAAGTCTAAGGCAGACCGTTTGCCTATCCTTTTTCCATAGTCCATGAAGGTTCTTTATCTCACAACTTGCTCAGCTTCCCTGCTCCGGCTGCTGTAACCGAGTGCTACGGGCTGGGCAGCTTGAAGGACGATCATTCACCTACTGCGCTTCTCTCAGTTCTGGAGGCTGTGAGGCCCTCGACGTGCAGACCACAGCCTCCGCGACGGAGCAGGGAGCCGCGGCTCCTGTCGCTCTTACAAGGGCTCTAATCCCATCACAGGGCCCCGCTCACGACTGTCTTATGGTTATTAAAAGAGGTTTGAGTAAGTACCAGGAAGTAATAAAGAAGTAGATACTGAATAAATATTTTAAAATGTTGAGTGATCAACTTTTATGAAAAGCCCCTCCTGCATGACTTTCCTCTTCCTTAAGGAAAAATGTACCTGAGTACTGGGGTTCTGGGTCAGGGCTAGTTTGTGATAAGGGACGGAAAGGAAGAATTCATGTGTTGAGATGAAAAAGTGTAGCTCAGCTAGATAAAAATGAAGAGAAAAGATTCCAGGTGTCCTGGTTTCATTGTGCTTCTGTCCTCAAGTCTAAGGCAGACCGTTTGCCTATCCTTTTTCCATAGTCCATGAAGGTTCTTTATCTCACAACTTGCTCAGCTTCCCTGTCATTCCCTCTTACCTGCATTTATCCTTTCACCTATCCCTGATGTACAAGATGAACTGTAGTTAGCCTGTGGCTACCACATCTTCTACCACTTTGTCTGTCCTTCCTTATTTATTCCTCTTTTTCATTTTCAGTCAGCATTGATCCCTGTATTTCTTGAGATACCTGTTTCCTGTAGTTCTCTTTTCATGTAACAACAGTTCTTTCTCCAGGATTAAGGGACAGATGATATTGACAGTTTGTGTTTATTTCAGAATTGGAGGCCAGACCTGAGAAGACAGGTATGCATTTAAACCAGGAAATTTATGAAGAGATGGAAACACAAGACATGGCCACAACAGGATCCAAGCTAGTGAAAGCTGGAAAGATGAGATGAATTTAGGCAGACTTGAGGGAAGTTTGAATCTGAAACAATCTCATCTCGAGAAGACTACTTTTAGGCCAATGACTGTTATCCAGGAGGAAACCTCTACAAAAGAGAAAATGTGAGAATGTAACAAGTTGGAGAAAATTTGGAACCTGAGCTCAGATGCTGTATCATTTCAGGAGTTTCATGCAAAAGAGGTTTCCAAGGAGTGAGATATATGTGATCAAATCTTCAATGAGAATTCAGATAACAGTGACTATCAAGGAATTCAGGTGTTAGAAAAAACATGTAAATGCACTGAATCCCAAAGTAGCTGCTGTTGCAAAAATCTGTTAATGAAAAGCAGCACATTCGAAGGAGAGGGAAGCTTTATGCATGTTGTACATGTGGGAAAGCCTTCAGATGGAGTACTGACCTGATTAGACATCACAGCTACCATACTGGAGAGAAACACTATGAGTGTACTAAATGTGGAAAAGCTTTCATCCACATCATTAACCTTATTCAACATTACAGAGTTTATACTGGAGAGAAGCCCTTTCAGTGCAGTGATTGTGGAGGAGCCTTTATTCGGATCTCTAAGCTTATTCAGCATCTGAGAATTCATACTGGAGAGAAAACTTATGAATGTAATGATTGTGGGAAATCTTTTAGTGAGCGCTGAATCCTTATTGAACATTACAGAATTTACACTGCAGAGAAACCCTATGAGTGTAGTGAATGTGGGAAAGCCTTTAGACACAGTTCACACTTCAGTCAACATCAGAGAACACATGATATTCTACTGGCCGTGGATATCAAAAGGAAACTCTGTTTATGTAATGAATGTGGCAGGGCTTCTCACCAAAATGCACATGTTATCCAACATCATGTAATTCACATTGGTGAGAAACCCTATGAGTGTAGTGCATGTGGGAATACTTTTGGTGCACAATCAACTCTTATTCAGCATCATAAATTTCATGCAGGAGAGAAACCTACGAACACAGTGAATGTGGGAAAGCCTTTAGGCAGAGGACCCAACGTACTGAACACCAGAGAATTCATCTGGAGAGAAACCTTATGAATGAAGCAAGTGTGGAAAAGACTTCCCTCACAGTTCCAATCTTTTTCTACACCAGAAAATTCACATGAAAAAATTATCTTAAGTAGG